TTGGGGGTTGGGGGTTTAGGGTTCAGGGTTTAGGGTCACGCCTGTACTTGCAGGGTCAGGGTCTCAGGAAGTGAATTGCAAAGGCTATCGCGCACCCGCCTCGGCCGTCGGGGTGCACAGATATTCCTTGCAGACTACATTTTGGGTAGGGGGGGGTGGATGGCAGGGGCAATATAAGGGGGGAGTCGGGGCGATCGGGGGGGGGGGTCCAACTGGAGGGTGGGGGGTTTTGGGGGGTTCTGGCAGCCTCAGCAAACTATGGTTACAATGTGGGTCATAGGGATTACTAACCTAATGCCTGAATACTAGGTCCCCCTGACCTTCCAAGTAGACTGTTTTCCTGAAGCACTCATGCAAATGCCAGGTGCGAGAGATGTTCCGAGTTGCTCAGGAGCTACTCCCTCAAATGAGCTATAGTCTAAACTCCTTAGAGGGGGGTTATATAGGGGATTGTATGGGGGGCTATTACAGGGCTTATTAAGGGGGATACTAGGAGTTTAGACTATAGCTCCAATGGGTAATGTGTAAAACCATGGGCCTTTTCTGGCTTCCATTGATAGTATTTAGGGCTGGACAAAAGGGAGCCCGAAATTCGTAAACTGTCCAAGTTCGGGATTTAGGGTTCTGGGTTTCGGGTAGCAAAACGTTAATGCATTGAAATAGGTTGGTATCCAAGATTCCCAAGAACATATTGATAGTCACTGCAAGACTTTTTGAATTGCCAATGTCAACAATACCTGCTGATACTTTTTATCGAACGGTAGCACTTGAAGTTCAACTCTTGTTGGGCTCCTCTTCTTCATTTTGAGGAGTCGGGTTAAAGCAATTAAGGATGACAGAAACGATCGAAGGCATCGTAAACATCACGGCAAGCGCAACACAACGCCCTAAACCCTAAACCCTCAACTGCTGAGACCATGGACAGGAGCATGCTCCATCAATCATTTTTATCGATGAGATCGATGCTGTTGCGACCAAGCGGCGGGCGGCTCAGTGTTTTGTTTTGTCATCCCCAACCTCAATGATGGAGGATTAGATGGACAAGAACATGGAAAATCCAATGGAAACTGAGGTTGGACAGGGTTGTAATAGAGGGACCTACAAATGTATATGTCTAAGGTGGAGGATTGTAGAAGATGGTTTCGGCATTTCCAAGCCAATCCCAAATTCAAGACCCAGTAAGGGTCACATGGTGGTCATTGCATCTGGTTTTTCGGGGGGGAGCTAAAATGCCCTCACTACCTAAACCCTAGGTATCCCCTTCAAACCTTCAGTTTGCATGTCATGTTTCTTTTGTTCGTCCATCATTTACTGGTAGTGGCAACCCAATTGTCCACTAAACCCTTACCTAAACCACAAAAAATGTGTAGAATCATAGCCCTAAACACATAATAATAGCCCCAAAGGCATTTTTGATATACTTTGGGGGTTCAGGTAGCCTAAACCCTAAACCCCTAAACCCCTAAACCCCCGAACCCTAAACCCCCAAACCCCTAACCCCGAAACCCAAGACCCTAAACCCCTAATCCTCATCCTGGCTCCTGCAGAAAATGGTATTACCCTCGCCTAAACAAACTAACATGGAAGCCCCAAACAGGGTCCAGTAAAAACTACCTAAACCCCCAAAAAATGTAAGATAATAGCCCTAAGCTCATAATAATAGCCCTAAAGGCCATTATTTTACATACTTTTGGGGTTTAGGTACTGCCTTGTGTAGGGTTTAGGGTTCAAGGTTTAGGGACCCAACAAGGGTTTACATGTAAGTTTGAGGGAGGGCGGTTTTCTTGCGGGCTGAATGACGTTGGCTGCTTGTGAATGGCAGCTCGGCATGTGCGTATGCCTCTGCGTCTGGAAGCATTCTACACCAGGGCCACCCAATTTTTGAGGCTTAGTCGTGTGTGGTATGAACTGGGGTGGTATTCCTTGGAAAGCTTTCTAACCATAATTAATAAGCCATAAAGCCATGAACATGAGACTGCGTAGGGCCACTAACTAAATCTATCCCAGTGCAGAGGTATGATACCACGAGTGGTGGCGAGAAGGAGATTCAACGTACAATGTCCCCTGGCTGCAGTGGAAACGCATCACATGAGCGGCGGCCGACGGGCGACACTAAGGATGGACATAGGGGTCCCCCTATTGTGTAGCAAAGTCCCTAAGGTATTACCTATACCTAACCCCGGAACACCTAAACCCAAAAACCCTGAACCCCTAAGCCCTAAGCCCGAAGTCCTTGATTAACTCTATTGGAAATGTTGACTGTAGCTTGCACAGGTGGTTGCAAAAATATGGCTACCTGCAGAGATCCTAGAGGTTTAAGGTTTGGAGTTTTAGGCTTACCCTAAACCCTAAACCCTAAACCCTAAACCGCTTTGGGCTTTTAGGGTTTAGGGATGCTTAGGGTCCCGGGTGCCAGCACGGGTCAGAATGTCTTAGCGAGGATACCTTCGTGGCTCCCTGGGGTTTTGTCTTTTCGAGAACTCCGGTACGTCGGGTTTATGGTTTTAGAGGCAGACGCGACGTACCCACATGACCAAAAACACCATTCCTCAGCGGAATTCAGTGATTACTTGAATGGCATTATGGTGAGATATATTTGGGATGTAACTATGGATAGCTCTGATTATAGCATGCTTCAGGGGATTTGTTATCCTCCCAATTGTTACCCATAATCCCATCATCTTCTTATGCTTGATTACGTTGCCTATATACATAGGGTTACAAACTCCTTCTCACCCTCCTCACAACTACCCAGGAACCCTCAAGTAGGTTTCCGAAACTGTCGGACCCGTATTGTCCAGTTCTTCATAGCTTAGGACTGGTCATTTGCAGGTAAGTAAGTGAGTTTGTGAGCGCGCCAGATTTTTGACTTCTAGCGGGGAAGTAAAGAGCCACCACGTATTCCCTTGCATGATCCACATTGCGTGTTTTCCATGCAGTTGTTAAGGCTATGCAATCACCACAATCTGGGTGCAGTTTATATCTTGCGCAAGTCCCGCTCGCAGTAAGTGTCCTTAAAGGGATCTTATTCAAAGCATATCTTAACTCCTCCTACCCATTGCGGCAACTGTTGCTGTAAGGGGAAGCAAGCAGCATATGTCACACCAACAGGGGCGTCCATTGTGAGAGGCCTCCCAAGCCTGTCCATTTGCCTAGTGTCAAGGGGAGACGCCTAAGAAGGGTTTAGGGTTTTAGGGTTTAGGGTTTTACGGTGTAGGGTTTTAGGGTTTAGGGTTTAGAGTTTAGAGTTTTAGGGTTTAGGGTTTAGGGTTTAGGGCACATTGGGTATAGTCTACTAAGTCTACTAGTCTACCGGTGTCGCTTGGCGAGGTCTCACTCAGTGATACTTCCTTGGGAAACTGACAAAGTCGTTTGCTATGTGCCCTGTGGGTCGAAGAGGGCAGATAGGCTGTCTTGGGATCAGATCATGCGCAGTCAAATTGTGCAATTAAGGCATCTTGAACATGAGTGTCTCTACTGCCCTCAATATGCAAACCCTCCCCCCAATCGCACCCTCTACCAGAATGGTTCCAATGCATATTGGGGGGGGGAAGGGGGGAATAGTCAGCATTGGAGACCCTAAGCTCGAATTTCACCCTGTAAACCCCATATCCCTAAATCCCTAAGCCTCTCAACCCTAAACTCTAATGCCCAACCCCCCTAAATGACTTTAATCCCTAAAGCCTAAACCTTAAACCATCAGAAGAATTCAAGATAGGGAGATCATTCCCTTCATCCAATGGGCTCTAGTGTTTAGGGTTAGGGTTTAGAGGGTTTAGGGTTTAGGGTATGAAGGTTTAGGGTTTAGTGTTTAGGGTTTAAAGGGTCTAGTGTTTTTGGTATCATGCCCCTGCTCCCTCCCTGGCGGTGCATGTCTGATTTTCAAGTACATGCCACTTGACTATGGCCCTAATGTAGTCATGTTCTTAGACTTATAGGCACAGTTGTGTCCCTAAGCCCCGAACCCTAAACCCTGAACCTGGGAACCTATGGACCCTCAAGTAGGGGTCAAGGTTTAGGGGCCGGGTTTGAAGCTTACTAAGTCATGATTTTGGGTTTACAAAAACAGGCATAAGGAGGCTGTCTCTCATAACTGCCCATGCGCCTCCAAGTAGGATTAGTGTTTAAGCTTTACCCTAACAACTGTACACCAGTTGTAGCAACAGGCTCAAGACGTTGTGCAAGCAGACTGGGGGAGTAAATATAGTTTAGGTTGGGTACTGCCCGAGCCCAGTAACGGTCTATATTAGGGGTCATATTAAGGGCTATATATAACCATACTATATTTATTATCCAACTATTACTGAGTGGGGGCAGTACCCAAGGCTTAGGGTTTAGGGTAATGTATAGTATCGGCTGTATAGGATCTGAGTTTAGGGTCTAGGTTGTAGGGTTGGGGTTGAGGCAAAAGAAGCCCTAAGCCCTCAACCCTATGTGAGCTATAGTTTGAACTCCTGAAAGGGGGGGTTATATAAGGGACTACATGGGGGACTACTCTAGGGCTTGTTAGGGAGGATACTAGGAGTTTAGACTGTAGCTTATATGGGTGGTTGTCAAAATTATGGTCCCTTTTTGGATCCCTATTATAATACGGCACCTAATATTTAGGGTACCCAAAAAGGGACCCTAATTTTGACAACCACCCAGATGAGGTTAATACAGGGGATGTCCTGCCTCCACTGCGGCTTGGGAAGCCTTCACGCTTTTGGGGGGTTTATACGCCAACACACCTCCTACATGGTTTAGGGCTTAGGGCTTAGGGGTTTAGGGCTTAGGGTTTAGGGCTTAGGGTTTAGGGTTTAGGGTGTAGGGCTTAGGATTCAGGGGCTGTGAGTGGTGTTTAGAGTTTAGGGTTGTATTCAGGATAGCATGCATGATCATGGACTCTCTGCCGATTTCAGAGTAGTCTGAGGATCTTCATTCAGGAGTATAAGGTAGCATGATTCCCTAAGCCCGTACCGGCTACAGTGACAGATCACCCGAAAAATCCTGGCTAAACCCTACACAGGTTGGAGTTGTTAAACCAGCTAGATGGTTTCGACGATCGCGGCGACGTCAAGGTTGGGTTCAGTGTTTAGGGTTTAGGGTTCAGGAGGAGAGTCACTGATTTCTAAGTTTAGTAGGGGGAGATTTTACTCTGGAGTTCTAAATTCGGGGTGGTAGAAAAGGAACTTTAGTATAATCCCTGGCAGGCTTCAAGCATCGTAGAATGGGAGTTTAGAGTTTTGGGAGGTATAAGTAGTAAAGCCCTAGCCTAAGACCCTAAGTCGTCTAAGATTTGACAGAGTCTGGCAGTAGCATGAATTGAACTGGGAATTTCTCACCCTGAACCCTGAACTTACTGGTGGGTAGTAGAGAATACGGGAGTATAACCTCCACATACCGGGTTCAGGGTTTAGGGATACATGATATGTTCCTTATTCCCTAACACCCAGCAAGTAAATTATTGACAAGCATAGACACTAAACCCTAGACAGGTTGGGCATTGCAGTTCGCCATCGTCCCAAGCCATAAACCTGTCAACACCAATTGAGTCCGGCATGCCAGTGGTTTCTTTGCAGCGGGAATAACATTGGGTTTTGGGTTGTGGGGTTACCCCAATCATGGATAATCAACTTCACATAAATGCAAATGACATGGAAACTGAGATTGCATGGTAATCTATATGGCATAGGTTTGTTAACGGTACTTGCCGTATAGGGTTTACGACGGAAGAGGAAACCCTCAATCCTAAACTGCCTGCAAGGGCAGGCAGACTTAGGAAGTAGGTTCATAATGGGGATAATCGGGCTTCCTGTGTGGCCTATGTGCTTGCTAAGTCCCCCTGACCCTCCAAATCATGTAGAAGGCTGAATAGCCGCCAGTACTGTTCCCGCATATTCTTTTCATTGGTACGAAATACCAGCCTTATTCTAAACCCTAAACCCTAAAAGCCCTAAGCTCTTTATTCCCGAAACCCTTAACCGCCAATTCTTTAGGCCCTAAACCCTAAACCCCAAACCAATTATTCTGGCCCTTTATTACCCGTCACAGATTCGGAAGATCCCTGGATCAACCTCAGAATGCCCATGCTTGCCCCAAGAAACATGGGTCTAAGGGTTTAGGGTTTAGGGTCTAGGATTTAGGGTCTAGGGTTTGAGGGTTTAGGGCTTAGTGTTTAGGATCTTATGGTTTTAGGGTTTAGGGTCTAGGTTTTAGAGTTTCAACGTTTTAGGGTTTAGGGTGTACGGCCTAGGGTTTTCCACCAAGGTTTGGGGTGTCAAGGCTTAAGTTCCCTTTGTTTGAGGAGTCACGCGGTCCAGGGATTAGGGCTTAGGGCAAAGACAAGGATTCAGAGTTGGTAAGCCCTACCTGACCCCCAACAGTATGTAGAAGAATTTTTCATCGGGTATTTCTAGCAGTTTTGGGCTATAATTTTACCTACATTTGGGGTCCAGGTAGGCCCTAAACAGGTGTTGGTTCTTCTTGCTGCGCCAGTGGGCAGCTATGGGTTGGACAGACAAACAAAGGGAGGCGACGGAAGGCCCAGAACCCCCCAGTTCCCAGCCGTATACCCCAAATCCTATTTCATAATTCTTGAACCCTGGGCAATTTAAAGCGACCTCACCCGACCTCACCCTTTTTGTTGGCTTATGTAGGGAAGAGTACCAAAATAGCCTTAAATTGGGAATTGAAACTATTCTAAATTACCCTGTGAACCCATCTGCCTTAAGTCCTAATCCATGGGTAGTTACCTAGAAGCAGAAGACCCCCTTACCAAAGACATAGGATCATGAGTTTAAGTCTTGACCCAAAAGGAATCACAGGGGATAGGGGTATATAAGGCCTCTTGCATAGCCCCCACTCCCGTAAGCACCAGTAAGTTAGTTGTCAAACGGTGTAAGGCCGGACGCAAAATCCAGGATATCCATGTAATCTGCCATATATACCAAGTAGATAGAAGCTTTGGGTATATTATAACAAGATTCCCATATACCCCATATTCTATCTACTTAAGGTGGACTATATGCGCATGGCCCATGTATGAGCCACATGTACGTCACTAGGCTCCAACCTGAGGGTCCTACCTTACACCCTGAATCCTACAAACTCTACACCCTAAACCCTAAGACCCAAACCCTAAACCCTAAACCCCAAACCCTAAAACCCCTTAAAAACAAAAAAAAACCTAAACCCTAAACCCTAAACCCCAAACCCTAAACCCTAAGACCCAAACCCCAAACCCTAAAAAAACAAAAAAAACATCACTAGAACCTAAACTGCGAGGTGATCATGGCCACGAACAGGATGGAATCCCTGGATCCAGCGATGATTCGGCCAGGCCAGCTGTCGAAGGGTAGGGCTTGGGAGAATCCCCCTAGTTTCCATTTTCTTCTCCATTATCCCTAAACTCTAAACCTTAAAACCTAAGCTGGAAACCCTAAACCCTAAAGCCCTAAACCCTAAACCGCGGACACCCGCCTCGAACGGCACACCCACATCCAAGCCAACTGCAGGGTGGGAGTTGCCATGTAGGGACCTTACTAGGTATAGACGCTTTGTTGGGATAATGGCGAAGAAAATGGGAATTACTATATTCTAATAGGGTAATAACCTTAAGGGTCAAAGGACCCAAATAATAGGGTTTTAGAGCCCAAATACTATAATACAAATGGTATTTGGGCCCTAAACCCTATTATTTGGGTCCTTGGACCTTAGGGTACATAAGCCCGAAAGAAGGCTTGTGGTTGTCAGCATGGCGTTCTTTCTCGTGCTAGCTTGTTGTATTGCAAGCGCGTTTGTACTGCATCCTTCCAGAAGCAGCCACCAGAATCGAAGTGGGACGCCTACACAAAAAAAAACATCGATCCCTTTGTGCACGGACACTGTTTCCACCCTCCAGCTCACATCTAGGATGATAGGCGAATTCTTATTTGCTGCTTGATCTGCAAATTCGACAGGCCGAATAGATCGAAAGATCGAGTTTCCCTTGCCGGATGAGAAGACGAAACGACGCATCTTCCAGATTCATACGACGGGCGCTCAGACTTTGAAGAGTTCCTGTGAATAATCGATAGGAGGGCATTTATAAAGCCATCATGATCAAAATCTGTCGTCTTCATTTTGAAGCGGCAGTTGCAGCAAGAATACTAGCAGTGGTGCTAGAAGCAACGGGAAGACTTATAGCCAATAGACCGCGAATGACGCTTAATAGCTTTTTGGTGGTGCTACGATGGTTCCTACTATTACGCCCCTACGTATGCGTACGCCTCCTTGTGGAGAGAAGAAAATGCAAATGCTGGTGCTGTGTTCGTATGTATATATATATATAAACATATGCACATATGTGTATGCTTCTGTTTCGTATTCATTTCCTTGCCTCTGTCTGGAGCTTGCAGATCGGCAGGGGAAAAATGACACTCGCAGACGACGTCAACCTGGAAGAGTTCGTAGTTGCCAAGGAGCACCTTTCCTAAGGGTCCAGAGACCCAAATAATAGGGTTTCAGGGGCCCAAATACTATGATATTAATGGTATTTGGGCCCTAAAGCCCTATTATTTGAGTCCTTGGATCCTCAGGGCCTGTTAGTTTCATGCATACAGCGTCCGCAGTCAAGCGAGGTATTGTTTTTACAGGATTAGGGGTATATGGGGGTTATCTTATACTATATGTAATTGTAGTATATTAGGGATTATACGTGGATTCAATTATAGTATATTAGGGATTATATAGGTTATACAGGGATAGTGGAAAAGAAAATGGAAACTACTATGAGAGTGTTGAATTATATAGGTTATATTGGGATAGTGGAAAAGAAAATGGAAACTACTACCGTGGGGTTTATTATAGGAGCACTAAACCCTAAACCCTAAATAGTAGTTGCCATTTTCTTGTCCATTATCCCAGTATAGCCCCAATATACAGCATGTCCCCCTGCGCCCCGGCGGATTTATGTCAGGACGACCTCAGCGGTGCAGACATCAAGGTGACGTTCCTCTGGGCTTCCGACCACATGGAATAAATAAAGAAATATATATATATAAGCATATGTATATATACACATATTTATGTATATACATATACACATATACATATCCACACATGTATGTAGAGACATATATATATATATTGTCCGGCGATATTCTTCTATATCACCACCCCTGGGAGTGGGTGATTTCCCGAGATATCATTTTCTCTACTGCGGCATGGGGTTTAGGGCTTAGGGTTTAGGAGGTCGATTTTCTGCAAAGCGACTGGCCCATGCCGGTACTTGCGGGTTGTTGTAAAGGTCTTTGTAAGCAAGGCACCGTTAGGAATACACTTCCACAAGAGGGGATCCTAACCAAACAGGGGACCTACATTATTAATTAATTATGGTCATTTTGGGGACATGTATTTGAAAAAACTACCACATCCTACCCCTAAACCCCAGGAAGGGCAGAGACTAAGCACCCTAAATCCTAAACGCAACTCAGTTTGGGGGGTCGGGTGTTTAGAACAAGTACCTCTTGTTGATCTTCGTCAGGTCAGCCTGGAGCCCTTACAGACCCCCTTAAGGGTTTTAGGGTTTGTGGTTTAGGGTTTAGGGTTTAGGGCTTCGGGCTTAGGGTTTAGGGTTTAGCATATGGGGATCTTACTATGGTTCAGGTTTAGGGTTAGTAGATAGAATATGCATCGGGATCTTAACGTGGTTGTGGGGAATCCATAGTCTATACTCCTAGTATCCCGTTTCATAACCCCTATAGCAGTCCCCTACATAATCCGCTAGAAAAAAAAACCTTTAAGGAGTTTAGACTACAGCTCATATCCTATCTACCTATCTGCTTAAGGGTGACTATAACCAACCCTAAACCCTAAGCCCTAAGCCCCTCAACCTTTGGGCTACTCTGGGGAAAAAGAGCTTTTTTCAGGCCATCTGCACCGAAGCCGGCATGTTGGCCCTCCGGGAACGAAGGATGAAAGTGACCCAGGCCAATGTCAGAAGGGTCTTTTTCTAAGGGTCCATGTACCCAATAATTGGGTACTGGGGATTTGGGTAATAGTAATTATAGTACAGGTTTGGGGTAAGTATATGATTATTTGGTACTTGGACCCTTCAGGGGTACTGTAATAGTGAGTTCAAGGGATAGTAGTAACTATAGTAGGGTCCTCTTTTTTTCCTATTATACCACTATTACAGGGTGGGGGGGTCCTCCTAAGGTCTTTCTCAGACGCTAACTCCTATAGCCCCTCTTAAGTAGATAGAATATGGGGTTTTGGTTTAGGGATATAGTTCCCCTTGAGTGGATCGAATATGGCTTTGGGTACATTATAATAAGATCCCCATATACCCCATATTCTATCTACTTAAAAGGGGACTATAACCCTAAGCCCCAAACCATATACTGTAGGGGCCTCAGTTACCAACATGATGGTCCGAGAGTTTAGAGCTAGGGATTAAACCCTAAGTCATAAGCCCTAAACCACGCTCGTATCAGGTAATCTCCAGTGAATTTGGTGTCTAGCTTCTGGGGTCTTTTAAGGGTAGCCCCACCATGCCGCCCTAAGGCACTCTCCCAGTGATCAAGGCGTTAATAAGGGTTTAGGGTTTACTATATAGGGTATAAAATATTCATGAGGGTTTATAGGGCTTTTAATCTTGGGGGGATGGTACGTTTGGAGGGGGTACTACTGTAACCCCAGAACCCCTATCTTAGTTTTTGGAACTTCCCCAGAGTAGGTTGAGGAGCAGGAGTGTCCAAGCATGGGCTTAGCATAGTAATGGAATAAAGGAGCTTGCCGTTGACAATAATACTGCATATTGCAGCTTCCAATTTCTGCTCCATTTACTATGGGCAAGTGGGAAGAAGTTCGTAAGCTTTGCATGCGGTTCTGTCAGTGTGATGATGCCTTCCTGCATGCAGGCAGACATGAGAAAAGCAAAGGAGAAGGCGCTGTACAAAAAGAAGGGGTCATACCCCGAGGGAATGTACCTCTAGAGTGCCGCGCAACATCATGTGATGGACGTTCCTTTCGCTGAAGAGTAAAGCCACATCTGTTCCGCTGTAGAGATAGTAGTGGGCCTCTGAGTAAGTCATCGTGCGTGTTGCACGTCGAGGGCACAGAAACTGTGTACCTTGAAGGGGCACAACCCGCTGTGTGCATAGTGCGCTGTTGACCATGTCATGCGAGACTGCAGGTACTACAGGGGCCGAAATTCCAATCTTATGGTCCTAGATGACTTGTATAGTTAATTTATAGGGTACGTCTAATATACCACAAAGGGGTATTAGTCTTTATATAGGCTCCTATGCTAAGATTCAGATCCTTCACATGGTATGAGTTATCGCTTTTACCACTGCCAATGAGGTCCTGCTAAGTGAGCGATGCTTCTATGTGAGCTTTTCAGGGTCATAGACGCAAAAAATCATCATCTCTAGGTGAGTATAGCGCAATGAGGAATATAGAGTTCCCTATACCCTAACCGTCCAAAGACCCAAATAATAGGGCTTTAGGGGCCAAATACTAAGATATTAGTGGTATTTCGGCCCTAAAGCCCTCTTATTTGAGTCCTTGCACCGTTAGGGTATACCCTCAAATTCTGATTTCTGGTTATTGTTGTTGGCACTCGGCTTGGTGATTTTTCCCTGTGAGGAGAGGCCATAACAGAAGTAGCTTCTCAATTCAGTTACTGCAACCCCACATACATACACTGGGTTAGGCTATGTGGGGCCCTGCCCCGGACCCACTAACAATCCATTCTACAGAACCTTAGCCCACATCCCTGAGACCCAAACCCTGTATCTCTGCGTATATCATTCTATATCCTTATCTATCCCTCCTCTACCTGAATCTTGGGTACTGCCCCCACTCTGGAACAATGGGAGAATATCCATACTATAGTTACATATCTATATACCGCTTACTATGACCCTAAAACAGACTATTACAGGGTAGGGGGCAGTACCCAACCTAAACCCTAAACCTTAAACCCTCAACCCAAAACCCCAAAACCCTAGTTATTTGGGTTTAGGGTAGACTGTTACAGCCCTTTGGGTTTGGGGTAGACTGTTACAATGCAGTACACCCAACCTAAATGTTCCTAGGGACTGCTCAGATGGTCCCTGCAGTCTTTCGGAGCCAGCAGAGTCAGGAAGACCTGAACAGCTGGAGAGGCGGAGGCTGTTTCGATTTCACAGAGCAGCACGGCCTCAGAAAAAAGGCTTGGGACTTTTACGATTTTGAGTTTTAAGGTTTTTGCGCCGTGGGTCCAGGATTTAGGGTTTAGGGAATTTGGTGCCGGATGAAGGGCGGGAATGCACGTTCAGAGTTTAAGGTCTAAGGTTCAGGGGCGCACAGCCTCATCCCCTGCTTAGGTGGGTAGCCCTGTCTTTGCTGGATGTCTTTCTGCACGGCTCTTCAGTTACAGCGCTGCATGGCCATGCACAGATCATGAGCAGTCCTCCAACCCTGGCCCCCAGTACAGACGCACTGGCACTAACACCCACCACGAGAGGTTGCAAAAGGATGGGAATCTGCGCAGTACTGTATAATTCGAAGTTCCCAGAAAATAGTTTGAAATTTCAGTTATCTATATTCCTGATAATCAGCTGACACATGATTTCTACGAGATGTCCAGGGAGCTTAGAGAAGCCCAGCTTCCATTTCATTTTCCATTTTACTCTGTATCACAGCTATATCAGAGGAGACAGGCCAAAATCTCATGTCGAGCATCGACGATGCCATCAAGGCATGCCGTGCCTGTTGTACTTCCCAAAAAAAGGAATTTAGGGCTCAGGGATTTAGGGTTTGGGGCTTCGCGCTTAGGGTGTAGGGATTAGGATTTAGGGATTAGGGTTTAGGGTTTTTCCAAACAAGAGAAGGTTTAGGGCCTAGGGCTTCAAGGTTTGGGCTTTTATTTTTTGTTCCGAATACTGGGTCATGGTTGGCACTGCTGTGTGTTTTTAAGTGCACCAACATAACCGAAACGGAATATGACGCTATACTTGCAATTAGTCTGGCACTGAGGAATCAGGTGTATGCCCCTAGTGTCTAGAATCCTTACTTATTCCTAAGGTAAGAAGTATGGACCGCGCATATTCGCCCTCAGGCCTTTCAGGGGGATTCCAGGGACCCTCAAGGGTACAAATGGCGTATATAGTGGGTATAAAAGGAGCCCAGGGTGAAGGGCCCATACTACAAGCCCATGGTTTCAACCTCAGATCCTTTTTCAGGTTCCCTAAACCCTAGACCCCTAGACCCAACCGAAAGAGATTTACAAAACTAAGCCTTAGCTCTGAATCTCAAAGCGGAAGCTCTCATCCCCAGGGGCCCTAAGATCCTGCCCCCAAACTTACTCTAGCCAAGCGCCTCAGCCTAAGACGCAGACCGTAAGAACTACACCCCAAGCGCCAGGAGTCAGAAAAAAAGAGTGGCAGAAAACACACGTAAATCCCTATGCCACCTGGATCCTATTCAACCCCCGTTAGCCCATGGATCGTCGCGAAAAGAATCCCTAAATCCCCAACCCAAAATCTTCAACCCGAAGCCGTAAACCCTCAACCCTAAACCCTCAACCCCAAACTCCAAAAAACCCTCAGCCCTAAACCCTCAACCCCCTAAACCCCAAACCCTAAACCTCAAACCTGAAGCGCCAACCCTCCCCAAACCCCAAACCCTAAGCCCCAACCCCCCTTAAACCCCTAAACCCTGGAGGCAGCGATACAAAGCGAGCTTCAGCAGGTCTCAGAGAAGCTCAACCAACAGGCTAACCTCGCACTTAGGGTATGTGGGTTTAGGGTTTATAAGGTCCTTTTAAAGGAATGTTGGCATGTGCAGGGTGTAGGGTTTAGGGCTGAGAGCTTAAGGCTAAGGGTTTAGGGCTTAAGGCTTAAGAATGCAACGCTGAAGGTATTAGGCACCAATTTATGCCTAGACAACTATCGATCTCATTTTCGAACCATTTCTGTAACAACTCTTATTTGCCAAAGAATCCTGCTACAGACACAGTAGGATGTACCCCGGAGCCCTGATCGAATAAGTTGGGCTGCTGCATTATTTGGTAGTTTCCCAAAATAAGGGAACCCCAATATAGACCCCAATATACTATAATCCTTATTATTGGGACCCTCAAAATGGTACCCCTAATATTGGGAAACCCCTATTTGATCGTGCTTAGGTGGGAGCCGTGGACAGGAGCCCGACTTAGTCGTTGTGTCAGACCCTGTAGCTGCATCAGTCGTCAAAATGACCTATTACCCTAAGCCCTAAACCCTATTCCTCACTTCTCAAGTAAGCCCAATCTAGAAGCCTGAGAGGTTACCCATACTGTTCCCTGACAGGCGTCAATCATTTCTAGTATGGCCTACCTCGAACCCTACATTCTAACACATGTACACGCCAAACCCCAACTGTGACACTCTAAACCCTTAGCCCTGAACCCTAAACCTTAGCCCTAAACCCTAAACCCTAAACTCAAATCCCTAAACCCCAAGCACTAAGCCAGCATCCCCCAGCCTAAAGCCATGAATCCTCAACCGTAGGCGATTAGCCGCAAACCCTAAGCAGCAAGCCCTGAACCTAAACTTTTCAATGAAATTTTGAATCCTGAGCCCCAGAACACTAAACCCTTAAAGGCCTAAACCCCAAAACCATAAAACCCCAAGCCCTAAACCTTAATTAATCCCTAAACCTCTAAAGCCCTAAGACCCCAAACCCTAAAACCCTAAATCCTGAAACTTGAAACCCCTTAAGCCCTAAACCTTTGACCCTAAACCCTAAGCCTAAAATCCTAAAGCCCAAAGCCCCTAAAGCCCCTCAAACCCTAAAACCCTAAAGCCCTAAACCCCAAACCCTAATCCCTGAAACCCTGAACCCTAAACCTATAGTCCCGCTTAAGTAGACAGAATATGGGGTATATGGGGATCTTATTGTAATGATACCCAAAGCCATATTCTAAACCCTCAACCCTAAACCCTAAACCATATCTACTTAAGCGGGACTATAAACTAATTCGAAGGATGAGCGCTTCAATGAGCTGAAGCAAGCATTTGAGGCTCAGTCGCTGGTTGAATGGATTTAGGGGTTTAGGGTTTAGGAATTTGAGTTTAGGGTTCAGGGGTTTAGGGCTTAGGGTTTAGGGTTTAGGGCGTAGGGTTCAGGGATTACGGCTTAGGGTTTAGGGTTGATAGGGCTTAGGGTTTAGGGTTAGGGTTTCAGGGCTTTGGGCTTGGGGGTGGGTCAGGCTATGGGTTTAGGGATGAAGGTACCTAGCCGTACCCCCAAAACCCTAAACGCTGAACAGGTTGATTTTTTTGTGGTCTAGGGTTACGGTTTCGTGTGGGGATGCTCAGGTTGCACCTCAAGGTTTTGTGAGACCTGTGGGGTTGGCAGTACCTGCACCGCATGTGGCTTCATATGAGCTATACTATAGTCTAAACTCCTTAACGGGGCTTCTGTAGGGGCTTCCTAAGCCTTGAGTTTAAGGTTTAGGGTTTAGGGTTTAGAGGAGTATGTCCGGGACTACTTTCGGGGTTGCGATGGGGGATGCTAGGAGTTTAGACTATAGCTCATATGAGCTACTGTCAATATCAGCCATACTGTTAATGGACCCTTAGCAGTGGACATAGTGGTCCGCCTTGTAGCTTGGTAGAGTCTCTGATATAGTCCTGAAAAGTGAAACGATGTCCATGAATAATGTTGGAAATATCGACCGTAGTCAAGCTGAATTGTATATTGGTGTCCATTTGGGGTCCGATTTTTGGGTCCCACCGACCAAATTTTAGCTTTAAAGGGGGAAGATACGAATATAAATGTGCAGTGTTCAGGGTTTTTGGCCTAGGGCTTAGATCTTGGGTTTAAGATTTAGGGGAGGGTTTGTGGTTGACGCGGTTCTCCAAATCAGGTAAACAACAAATAGCGGTTATACAAGAAAGATGTGGGTCTCCGCTCAGGATCGTGTAGGGCTATCTGGCGCTGTCCGAGCCATGCCTCACCCCAC